TCAATTTTTGTTAACATGTTTCGATTTGACGAATCGCACAAGGAATTTAGGTTAATTTCGTTGTTTGTCGCGATGCCGATGCAGTCGATGCATTTTCAGTTGATGCAAAAAAAGGTGTTCTTTTTTGCATCGATTGAAAATCAGAAAATGAATTGTTTCGCATCAGAATCGAGAAAGTTGTTGTAATGAGATATTCGTTCATCACTAGAAGAGTAATTCATACCATTTGCTATATGGAAGAATAAACGTTGAAGAAATGTTGTGAATAATTTCCCCAATATTTGCATAAATCTGCGTGAATTTGAGCATTCTTTACGTTATTCGACTGAAGTCCATTCATAAGAAGAGAACATCACATGAAATTCTTCATCGTACATGATTTTGAAAGGTTTTATGAATGTAGTTGTCATCGATCACTTCACATAGTTTTACAAACATCAATTTCCCAGTTTTCAAGTCGATCTCTTCCCACCAGTTTCCAGTTCTCCTCACAATCAGCAATCACTGCGCGATAATCAGACCTCACTGTTAGTAGTGAACTTACTATAAGAGAAAGTCGGTTTTGTTTGTTTGTTTGCGCAGCATAGTGCAGAGCTGAATGAATCATGTGGGGATTAAACTTTAAAATTGCCCTCTCATCTCACACTTACATTTGCTGAGCAATCATCCGTGACTCTTATTAAGACGTCTGAAAAAGAGCACAAACTTTTAGTCTGTTCTCGGCTCAATGAAGAACATTTTCACAATTGCATTCGTCAGCAAAAATTGCTATGTGCTGGAGGTAGTCCCTGAATACGAAGACGCATCACAATGAAGCGCAAAACGGTGCTGAAATTACAACGCATTCCAATAAAAAACTGAGCAAACAAACAGTCCTTATCAAATAGGACACGAGTGCTGCATACCAACTAAGCGCACCTCACATAATTCCACATATAATACGGAACGGCATCATTCATGGACGTTGCATGATAATTTTTGTTGTTTCAAAAAAGTATTTCCAAATAAATTTTTCTCGCATATTTTAATTTCTTCGGTTGATTCAGTTGCATTCTTACCACATCTTCACATCCCACCTGATAGCCTACGAGTACTATCAAAGGGATTTCGGATGGTACGAACTATCTATGTCTATGGAACCTGGTCATAAATGGAACGTTATCTTTGTTCTGTTTTTCGAATGATAGCTATTGCAGTGCTGTCCATCAATTAACGATTAAAACTGTAGAGGACGGATGCGGCAAGAAGTTTTGTTGAAAAGTGAGCCAGGGGATCAGTATGCAAAGGAGGTGATCGTTGGCGGTGAGCAGGTAAATATCATGGTATTCCCGAAGTCGATGAAAGAATCGAATCATGATTAGTGGATAGGTTTTGGGAGAGTTCATCAACTCATCCATTTTGGACTGAATATTCATTCAGTTCTCAGNTAATTCTACTGGGTCGAGGTCGTGCCGGTAAGACATCATTGATCAATGCGTTTGCGAATTATTTGTACAATGTGACTGAAGAAGATGAATTCCGCTACACACTTCTGCCGGTTCGCCGAAGGAGTGCCTCATTATGCTGTAAGAACTTTTTCTATTTCTAATCAGTTGCACAGTTGATTTCAATGTAATTACCAATAAACTTCAGATACAAAGACCGTTTTCAACGTTATGAATTTGACGCACAATGATCGGTCATTGTGTTCAGGTACGAACCAGGCGATCAGTTCAGATATGAGCCAGTCGAATTATATCTGAACACAATGACATATCAGAAAGCAAAAAACAATCATCATTACTGTCTCCGCTAACAACATAACTACACAAAAACTGAATGAATTCAGTTCATGAATGAGTGCAATAAGTGCAATTCAATTCAATTCATGAATGAATTCAATTATGGCTGATTGTGCGTCGAATTCATGACGTAAAGATAGGATCGTGGAACATTGAGGAGAGC